AACCTCAAACCATTTGTAAGCACTATTACTTTTGCCAAACATATTTTTGCTTAAGGAACTATGACAGACCACAAGATCGAAATTAATACTTTTTTTCAGTTTAGAAAAAGTAGATCTATTTTCTTGGGTAAAAAAAGTCAATATTCTTCATTTTGGTAATACAGGTGCTAAATTTATTCTGTCTTTAATGCCAATTCCATTAGAGTAATAAAACAATCAATGAGTTGTTATTCACAAGCTGAGCATTAGTGACACACCTGGGAGTAAAGAGGAGTGCCATCTTTGTTCTGCCTAATTGACTGTTACAGTTACAGTACAAAATCTCAGGGGAAGATCTGGATGGCTCACTTAGCTGAGAGCCAAATCACTCATGTCCAACGGTGAAAGTGCTCCGATTTCTTTTCTCTCTTCTTCCATCAACAACCTATCAAATGCCTGCAAGCTTCTACAGTCAAGAATGCAACTAATCATTACCTGAGGGGTAGAATTGTAAAAGTGTTAAACTAACACCCTAAGTCAATTTATTGGGCAGAATCGTGTATTTTATTGACTATTCAACACCACCATTTCTCTTTCATAAGAGTAAAGTATTCCATTTCTCTTATTTTACTGACCGTTTAATGAATAAGAGTTCCAAAACTAATACTCCAACAGCTAAATAAATTTAGTAGCATCCACAACTTGTTTTTTTTTTTTTTTTTTAAACGATAACTTACATCTGGCGACACCTGCTTCACATAGCTGCTGCCAAACACAACATTCTCGAGAAGTGGGATGACTGAATCTTTGCTCTGTGCGGGAGCGTTTCGGTTCAGCCATGTGGTTTTCACAGGTCGAGGAAAACTAAAGAAACAAAGCCAGAGTTGTGATTAGGATAGTAAATACTGATAAAACTTTTTTTTTTTTAATCTATAGGCATGCACAAATATTCTGCCCATCAAACCTGATTAGGGGTTGATGTAGTGCCACAAGGGAGGCATGGATGGCTACAGAGATGACCGACAGATGGAAGTAGTCAAACATGACATTGATGTGTTGGTGGATGCCCCGCTGAAGGCTAAAGTGCAAATGAAGTACGCGGCTGCTAATATTCTGCAGAGAGCTTGGATCTTCTGGTCTGAAGGGACAAGGATAAAAGATAAAAGGTTTTAGCAGTGTTTGATTTACATTGGCGCTGCAATTAGGACCGCACTGTCATACACCTACGTATAATCGCCATCTGTGAAATACAAATCCAGGGAGAGCTGGAAATCCATTTCATTGAGGGACTCTTCCACCTGAGAACAAAAAAAAAAAAAAAGTCAAATCAGAAACCTCACTACACAAAATAAAGTTTTTGTGTAGACGTAAAAAGAACTAAATGTACAGCAGAACAGTCAATAAACAGGAAAAGAACATATCGCTTTATAATTATTAAACAAGAAGCAGTGGAATAGCAGAAAATGTATTTGCAATAACAAGTTAAAGCAACACTTCTCTTTCCAAGTCGTACCTTTTTCTCATCCAGAAGCATCATCACTTTGAAGAGAAGAACATCATTGACGACAATCTCTTCGTTCTTATACAGGATTTGGAAAGTTTTGCTGCAGATGACGTCATCCTGGACTGAAGCAGGAAACGCCAAATCTGAGCCTAGAATGAAACCGTCATTAAATACATGCGGTTAAGAGAAAATCCTAAATAAATGCAAAATTGTACATTTAAATTTAGGTTTGTTTTAAAAGCTGACAGATACATTTTGTACAGTTATTCCACTATGGTAAAAGAAAAGTTAAAAGAAACATTTAATAACTGCCATACTATGCTTTACCAATTCTGTGACTCATCAGATGAGTTGGACTCAAACATGCAAGCATTAGAAAAATCCAAGGCAGTGTCTTGTTAAAAAAAACAATGACTCAATATTTCCTAACAAGACACTGAAGGCTAAAGTGCAAATGAAGTTTTTTTGAAACAAAAAGATTTCATGAAAATTAAAATGAATCTAATTTTCCTCCAAAAACGAAGCAAAAACCAAAATCACAGTGCAGTCATAAGAGTACACAAAAACTAACATAAAAAAGTGGCAGCAGAAACTAATTTCTAATTGTATGTTTGTTTAAACCAGGTCTCTCTCTTGAATGATGTAGATTATGTAGCTGAATTACTGCAAACTCTGGGCAAACCACATTATGTTAAGATTGATTTAGGAATTACAGTTGCAAAATAACTCCTTTGTGCACATATGACTTTACCTCCTGGATGAAGGAGACTGGTCTCAACTTTGTGTGGGACACGAGGAGGCACCTTAAGACTGCCACGCATCTGGTAGAACCTGCAGAGGATTTAGATATTTCAAAATAATCACAAGAAGGAAAGCAATAAAACTGCATCACTGGCTTCCAGATCTTTACTACAAACTCTGCAAATGGAGAACAAATTGCACATATTAGATACAAGTGTCCTGTAAAAGGACACTACACCTCTCATAAATGAATAATGAGCACTTCTTTTGCAGTCACTCATGTAGTAAACCTAAGCTCTTAGAGCTCCGATGAGTCACAAGCCGCTGGAAAGAGCTTTATCAGAGAACACCAAGGTATCAGTACATGGCTGCTGTAAAAAGAAACGTCTGAATACTGAAGATTTCAACAAGAGCAGCTTGAACACTGGTTGGCATTTTGTCCCTCCAAGTTTCTATGAAGTCAGGTAAAAGTATTTTAATAACACATTCCAGTCTTGTTTAACCTGGCGGAGAACTATAAAAGACTAGACATATGTATTTATTTTTTTAACATCGAAAAGTATTTATTGTCCTCCAAATCTTCATCAACGCATAAATAGAAATGGACTGTAGAAGTCAGGGATCAAACCAAAGAGATGATGATTAGCTCACAGTTTGAGTCATATCCGGCCCACAAATGTGGAAACAATGAGTTTGTTACACAATAATTGATACAGTCTGTGCTCTATACATATAGGATCCTTAGTAGAAACAGTTACAAAATACATCCGTCAAATATGCCTATTCTTTTACTCGAGACAATGTTATTAGAAGTATTAAAGGTTAGCTTAAAAATTAGCAATAGTTCTGCTGTGAAATATAGATGACTTTAAATTTACTGTTGCCTTAACCAAACTGAGCCTAAAGTGAATTTGTGGAGTATTTATATCTTCCCACAGGATTTATTTTCATTTTTTAGATCCATCATTCCATGATTGCTAGCATTGCAGAACTGAGCATACCACAATAAATTTCAGAGAAGCTGGTCATAGAAACGCAGTTACAGTCATTTTTATTTAACAGTTGGAGGTTATTGTTCTATCTATAGACATTTATTCTCAAATCTTTGGGATTCTCTTATCAGAGAGATTTGGGTGAGAGGCTCCACCTTAAAAAAAAAAAACAATAAGATGAATGTTTGACACATTCAGTTATTAATGTCAAAAAGTTAAACTAAGAGTATAAAATGTGTTCTGAGAAAGCCTCCAAAGAACAAACTCTTCATACCAATTCAACTTAAACAGAGGTTTACGGATATGCATTGATATATTTAGCAACATTTCAGGCAAAAAATGTCAGTATCGCCCAAAATCGAAATCGGCAGGTCAGGCTTTTTAAAGATTAGTAATCGGCAATCAGCCAGAAGACTGCAATCGGTGTACCTCTAGTTTTACAAAATGATCTAAATGCTTTCATTATAAATGAAATCCAAGACATGCCACATATAAATAAACAAAGGGAATAATGTTAATTTAGTTTTCACATCATGACTGCCCATGCTCTTCACAAATGAAAATATTTACAAAAGAGACGACCGATTTCCTGCAAGCGAAGTAAACATGTCGTCACCTTTTTCAGTCAGCTGACTAGCAGTTCTCAGCAAGAGGTAGCATTCATCTGTGCACTGACTCATGGAGCGTTTTCATACCCATCAACTGGCCTGAATCAGTAGATGAGTTTCAAGTTAGTATGAAGTATATAATTAGTTTTTTTTTTTCTTGGCAAAATTATTATCAGAAGATGTCTTAAAAATGGCACTGGGTTTAAAAGCTTTACAAAAACTACAAAAATTGCATCCCAAGATGCTATGCAAACCTGGCTTTGGGAATGCATTTGGCTTGCAGCATTCACCTGGTAGTTGTGTTGGGTGAAGTGGATCACATTCACACCATAAACAAACAGCACTGGAGTTCATTGGAACTGTACCAAGACCACTTCCTCTAACCGGTCTTCCTATTCACTACACCGGCCTCACATTACCTCTGGTATCTCTTTAAAATGGGATTTCAACAACAATTTATGACAAAAAAAAAAAAAAAGTTAATCTCTATCCTCAACCTGCATAAAAGATCTGCAAGATCTCAGAAACAACACATCACTCATGCCAGAAGTGTTGACTTTAACCTCCCCCCGTCATTCCCATTATTAAAATTTTTTTATCTAGATAGCAAGATGATGTTTTAAGTACTGCTTGAAATATTTTATAAAAGAGGGCAAATTCTGTCTTTGCTAAGAACATAAAATTGAGTCTGCTGAAAATGCCTGGAGGTCCAAGAGAGTCTGCCATCTGTCCTAGATTGGCTTGGTCAATCAGAACACAATCTGTTCCCCCTCCGAGACAAACCACAACGCGTTAGTTTTTGTAAATCCCTTTAAAGTGCAGAATAAAATAAATCACAAACGCCTTCAACAGAGCACTGGGTAAAGGATTTTATGGGTAAAACATCAATTAACTACCATTGAGGTAAGTCTCAACAAAAAGAGAGAACAATCTTAAGCATCCTGGAAAAAACTCACCCTCTCTGGAACAGGTCCACATTGTAGAACTTGTGGAGCTCCACAGAGAACTCCACTGTGGCCTGAACTTCAGTCATCTTGGTCAATACAGGCAGAGGTGCCTAACATTATCTCGGATACATCTGTACTCCTGTAAGGAAAATGAACATAGACTAATTATTCCCAAGAAGCTCTGGAAGAAACTTAGCAGAAATAGTTGAAGGACTGGAATTACAGTTCAGGTATCGTTAATTACATGTTATATGTATGCCATATAACATACATATAAAGTATGTTACATGACATTTCAATGTTCTTGTACCAAATACAAATGCAGCCAGAATTTGTCCATGATATTTGTTGTATTTATTATTTCACAAATACTAGACTCAATACTGTTTGAGCTGACTGTGTTTTACTGAGTCAAGTAAAACACAAGTAAGACACAGGCACAGTGATATTATTAGTGCTTATAGTCACTATGACAAAAGCACAGCGGTGTAAATGCCAATAATAAAAACCAAAAATGAAACATCAATAAAGAACCATTTATTAATGTAGATTTATGAATTTAAGATGGCATAATAGGCGCCTCAGTGGGGATACAGATGATTTATCTAGTCGTTTAAAAAAAAAAGTCAAACTATATGACTAGATAAACTTAAATCAAAATCTAATAATGCAGCAAACTGCAGAAGAATGCAATTGAAAACCATGTAACTGCTAACCTGCTGCAGTAAATGTATATTCATATCCAAACGTATTATTTGCAATAGAATGGTAAACAGATAACTGGCAGTTATTAATAGACAAAAACAACAACAGAAAGAAAAAACGATGTAGTCTGCTTGATCAAAAGAGGGTCACACGTTTATAATAGCTAAGTAACAGGGACTTCGACTTAAAGATCTGTTTGCACAGTGCTGACAACTAAAAATATCTGTTTAACAGGCCGTGATATTGCTTAGTGTTGCTGAAACTTAAGGGCAACCAATGCCCCTAATCAAAAGGTCAACAGAAAACCACATACAAATACAACAGCACAACCATCTTTGGAAACTGCTATTCAAATACATGCAAAAAAGGTCGGAAACCTTCCACCAGCAGCTTAGATGTAAGAATTTTAAGCCTGCAGGTTTTTTTGTGCGTGTCTGTCTTGTTTTTCAGTAAAGAGAAATTCCGTCTTGCACTTAGAGCTCAAACAAGGGCACATTAAAAAAAATAAAATAAAACAACTACACACATATACTAATCATGTTAAGACGTAAGGCCTTAATCAATCGGTGGGGCAGTTCCTCTTTTTCACAAGTCTGAAGAGTAGCTAACATTGACGAGTTTAATAATGCATAGCAAGAAATCTTGAGACACGTAGTAAGTTTGATTCCATTCCGAATATGAGTGGGGGTGACAAGTCTCCGAATCCTGGTGGGCAGAATCTCTGCATCGGTATGGTTTCACTTTTTGAGGTAACAAACGACAGAAAGGCCAACAAAACAGAGGTTCGACACAACAAGGATGAAATGTATATAAAAAGAACGAAAATAATTCCATTTTGGTTGCCAGTCTGCAACCACGGTTAGCCAAAAACCGAGCAGTTGTCACAGGGAAACATTACACAGACAGACAAGCAAGCTAACGCTACTCACCATTGCGTTGGCAAGCTAACATTAGCTCGCTAACCAATGTTAGCTCCAATTTCACTTCTGCTGTTGTCCTTTAACTAGTGGCTACAGACTGAAAACACCTCTCTTCGTTCTATCGTTCTTTCTTATTCGGTAAAACTGACTTGACACGGACCGCTAAAATGGGATAAGAAGAGGAGCGGCCATGTAGCCGTCAGACATAGCTGTGCTTGCTATGCAAATTCAGCTAACAGTGCTCAATCTGAGGAGTTGACGGCAGCTGCTGCTCCCTTAGCACTTAACTGCGCTCAGCCGCACATTACACAGGAGCAGCTGACAAAATTGCTTCCTGTGAATGGACTGTCAGTACCAACGACTACAAATACAAGAGTCAGAAACAATACGAATAATTATTATAATAATAAAAATAATTATCATTTTAAAAAATGTTCCTATGTTGCTTGTTTAGTCCTACAGTAATGACATAACCTAACATATAACATCCATCAAAATGGTCTTTTTGAGCCATTAGTTATTTCGCACTTTTTTTTTTATCTAACTAGTGAAATAATTTAATTCTAAAGGTCATCTGCGAGCTTTATTTTGAAGGTTAATCCCGCCTGGTTTAAATTAAGGATTTAAGAAACCAATAATATTAGGTATAATCTATGCAGGCTTCTATTTCTAAGACTAACATTTGAGCTTTTTTTTTAAAAGGCCAACAACATTTTTCATTTAATAAATGTTGATTAATTGAAGACTATTCAAATTAATCTTTATTATTAAAACTTTATTTCAATCTGTTTATCGTCAGTTGTTTTTTCGACCAAGGAATTTAAATCTTGTCAAAGCAATCCTTCATATAAAAAAGTGAGACTTTTGACTAGCATCTGTCTGCTTTACTTAGAAAGTGCAAGTCTCTTCTTCAAAATATATATGCATAAATTTTTGCAATGACCAGCAACAAAATCTGCTTTTAGTGGCAATTTTTGATTTGATTGTATTTGGAAGATGCAACAATGCAAAATAAATAAATACAAATAAATAAATAAAATAGGTTTCCAATCAGACTTTATAACAAGATTTGTAAGATTCTGTATGAGAAGAAAACAGCATTTTCTACCACAATGATAAATATGTTGTCCAAATAGACTACAGGGAACACTTCAAAAATGTTTTTAAGTTTTCTTTTTTATGGGCAATTTTGTTTGGAGACTTCATAATTAATTTTGTTTTGTTTATTTGTTTTAGATATATAAAATGCCTTCCAATTTCAGTGTTAAATGTTAGAATTTGATGTATATTGATTTTGAGAATGTGTTCTTGCATCATTTTAGCATTACCATGGTAATGACATTTATTATGAGAAGGCTTAGACTGGTTTATTGTGATCTGTCTGTATTCATGCTGCTGTTTGTCATTTTCTGTTTTTACTACATTTGTTATTTCAATTTGTTATTTTTTGTTTTTTTCCGTTATTTTTCTCTCCACAGAAGCTACACCTGGTCTGACGTTGATTAGCTGTGTGGTTGCTTCCTGGAAAAGGACATTGGCTGACATGATGCTGCCATCACCTAACCGTTCTCCTTCTCCTTTTAATTTCCACAAACATGGAAAGTTCTCCTGATTGTGCCAAATAAAACCCTGCAGATTGTATGGAGTCATTACTTACGGCATTCACCTGACCAGCAGGGGGCGACAGCAAATCGCTTGTGTTGAGTTGTTGACTTTACAGCAGTCCCTCCATACAGAGCATGCATGTTGTGACAGTGGAGAAGAAGAACTCCCCTCTACCAGGGAGAAACTTCCAGCAGAACCAGAACTGGGCTCAGTACCAGCAGCCATCTGCCACCCATGACCGACTGGCGGTGAGAGAAGACAGAGCAGAGACACAACAACAGGTTAACTGACCAAGAGTACTTTCCATGTTCATGGAAGTGAAAAGGTGGGCTGCGCTGTGACAGCAAACACAGGGCCGTAAAGCAGAACCTGGAGGCTGGGGCAGGGAGGAAGTAATAGTGGAATACACAAAAACATGCAAAAATTACGCAAGTTTTTTTTTTTTTTTTACTTTTGTAACCATTAAACAATCCCCCTCAGTTCAACCTAATAAGTAGATACACACAGTTGATGTTACCATCATGCAATAACTTGCAATTGAGTATTGGCAAAGATCAATGTAATTTCCACAAGTGGTGGAAGATTATTGTCAACAACTGCTGAAAGTAACTAAAAAAGTTACAATTAATGTAACTTTGCTACTTTCCAAGTCAAGTAAACAGTAATCTAAATTACTTTTTCAAGGAGTAATCAGTAATCCGATTAAAGCTACTTTTTCAAAGTAATTATGCCATCACTGAGGTTATTTATATGTAAAGTTAAATAAAACTTCAGTATTGATTAAACTGGACAGCAATTACTTCACTCTAGTTCAGAATTTATAATGTATTATAAATTCTGAACTAGAGTGAAGTAATTGCTGTTCAGTTTAATGTAATCTTACTCTGAGTTTTAACTAATCTCTGCTAAATTTAATTTTAATGTATACATTCAATTTACATGTAGCAGAGATTAGTTTTCTGAAATTTTGAAAATTGGGTTTCGATTTATGAAACCTTGATTATATTTGCAAAAACAAAGTGTATCACATACAGAAGTAATGGGTTGCCTAGAAAACCCCTCATGCTGCAACCAATCTCGTTGGTACTATTGGAGGAACATAATTTGATCAGTTAAACCAAATTAAGAACAGTGGGCTGTTGGGAGGAAGTTTGATGGAGTCAAATTAGTTCAGCAATTCCCGATGATTAACCATAAAATTCACATGAAGCGATTACCACAAAACATGTTTTTAAAATCCGGATCAGGTACCTCACTGTGTGATCTGAAGTTTTTCACTTCCACTTACAGTGTGACAATGCAATATTGTGTTCACTCCTGGAAGTGTGACTAAAAATAACCAAATAGCTATTGCTACATTCCAATTCAATCTGTGGAATAGGTGGATTCCCAGGATAAGCAATTACTCTAATAGTCACTGTCTCAGCTGCATGTCCGTTTATTGATCCAGATCAGCCGTTAAAGCAATAATTAAACAGCAATTCCACTCTGCATGAAACTGTCTCTATCTCATAAAGTGATACAAGCAGTTTGTTTTTGATTCTGTATTTCAGAAACTGCACGCTGTTCTCACGCTGCTGCTGCTGCTGCTGCTGCTGCTGCTGCTGCTGCCTTTTGGGAGGACCTTTCGGGGTAAGTAATCTATGATGCTTAGCACTCACACGGATTTATATATATATATATATATATATATATATATATATATATATATATATATATATATATATATATATATATAAAGATGACTCAAAAACACAAAACAAAACCTTTTATTTAAGCAAGACTTTTTTGGTTTGCTGTAATACAAACCACCAAGCTTTGCTTTAAACATGACCAATGCCATTTCTTTGCTTCTATGCAATGAGTCATTTGGTGATTTCCAGACCTGTTTTATGACGTTTTCTGCAAGTTTGTTATACCACAAAGATGTATGTTTGCATTGTTTTGCCTTTCCTCAGATGGTTTCTCTACAGTGTCGCTGTGCTTGTCAATATTCCATGTTGCACATACCGTGGTTTGTGTTACCCTTATTTTAAAATGCAACTGACATGTACAGCTGTGGCAAAAGTGGAATAATAAAATATAAGTCCTGAGCCAAACTGCTGAATAGCAGCAGGCTTTCAGAGCAGCACAGGCTCCTGGAAAATGGAAGAATAGCTCTTTTCTAGATGATTTATTCACACTCAATTACAGCCTTTAGATTCCAATTCTGACATTTAGTAAAAACAAGTTAATCTTGAGAGCTTAAGTGATGTTGCAAGAATCACAAACACTCAGAGAGATAGCCTAATATTTATTCAAGGCAGTGGCACAGCTTTCCAAACACAGAGCTTTTGTTCCCTCGCCACAAGATGCACAGACTTACCCTGACTACTAACACACTGCTTTTGCTTTCTTCTCCCCGTTTTATAGCTGTGAGGATTCCACCTCAAGCTGGCGTTCATGTGAAGGAAGTGGGGGTGGGGGGGGTTCTCGTTTACCCAAATGAGCGGTAAGGAAAATCATTTCTAAGGTTTGAATCACGGAACATGATTTTGAGTACTACCGGAGGTGTCAAAAAGAGCAGCTGTTCCACCACGTTACGGAAAATTAGGGTTAAAAATCAATTCAATAATGGTGGTGCCAAGCACAAATAAAAGACAAGATTCATGTTTGAGTTTCTTGAAAGGATTATGCTGCAGGATCTGATGATTTTTGTATTTAACCATTGTGTATGTCTCAATTCCACATTGCTGAGCTGGCAAGAAGAGAAGCACTTAGGAAGCTTGCGGTACCATCTCTTCATGATTTCTCTTATGAGACAGACCCTGGATTTAACTTAACAATAAACACAAGGTTTACTGCAGTGGGTGGTTTTTTGTTTGTGTTTTTTTGTGTGGGTGATGACTGACATCTAGTGGTTGAGTTGTTTTAAACACCACTTACCCTGTCCATGGTGCTGAACATCAAAGACTGATCTTATCCGAGCTGCACAACAACAATACAACGATATGGCATCTTCACAACTGTGTACATGATCTGTAGATCTAAAACGCAATAGGTGCTTAATTTGATCACAGTCATCAGAGTCCATCTTTTCTGATTTAAATCAGTTTATCTATGGGGAATACCGCTGGAATTTACCTTTGAGGCGGTACAGTCATGTTTGGTTCTCAGAATATTCCACTACACCAAAAAAAAAAAAAAAAAAAAAAGACCCTGGGAGGGCAAAGCTCAAGAAAGAGCCAGCGTGTTCTGCTGCAACTGCAAACACATACACAGCAAAACTGTGAAAACGATGACAATTTCTGTATAAAAAGTAACCAACATACCACACGTCTATTTAGGAAGAAATAAAATGGAGAAAAAAAAGAGCATAAAGAAGTGAATCTAATTATATTTTCCTCCTGGGGGAAGTTTTTTACGCCCTCTGACAACTGAGAATTTAAAGTAATTTAAACTTCAATAATTTATTATTCAATAACAAATTAACTTCAATAATTCATGTCTACTCGTAGAAAGTTGCTCAGAGATGTTTTGGTTTGATCCAGAGGCATTTTTTTTTTCATGCCAGTCAACGAAACAGAGCAACAAAATGAAAGAATGGTAGGAAAATCTTCCCTTCTTTGTCAGTTTGTTTCTTTTGCTCTCTATTTCTTTTTCTTTTTTTTTAAACACTCAGACACTGCTTGATTAAAAGATGTCTCTGCAGACATTTCATTGTAATGTTATGTTGTTGTTTTTTTTTCCTTTTTCATGTAGTTTGAACTCCAGTCAATGCTGACCCGGGACAGAGGCTGAATATGTTCTCCCTGCCACAGTAAGACCAAAAGCGTCCTGACAAGTGTCAGAAACAAATGTTTGACTATTGGATATTGATCTAAAGGTAAAATAATTGGTAGTACAGGAATACATTTAAGTAGTGTTCAAAAAGTTTTGTTCTTCAAAATTTTAACAGTAAAAATCAGTTGGACATAAAAATCTAAAGTATGGACAAACTGCTTGTAGTCTGGTTGTAGCAGAGGTTAAATTGCCCGCTGACGCTGCTCATTGGTGCTTACTGCAGGGTGGCCCCCCTTCCCTGTCAAGGCCCCTGAAGGCCTCCTCCAATCACCTTTCTGTTTCCAGTCTTTATATGAATATGCATGAGCCCCTGACAGCCCTGGGACCTTGCACCGTGTAGCAGGAAAGCTGCAGTGGACTTAGCTGCCTTGTTTTGACGGCGGCTCCCTCTGAGGAAAGGACTCCAACGTTCACCCTTTCCTACTCCTGGGAAGATCATGGCTGGGTTTGCAGGCATTAAAGGGTCTTTTCTGGTGGTGATCCTGCAGCTTGTTCTCCTCTGCTTCTCTCAAGTAAGACCTTTAATGTGATTCTGTCTTAACCTTTAGTTAAGACGGAAGGTGCAAATGAGTATTCTCTATTTGCATGCAAAATGTAATTTTTTGCAAACTTTTGTGGTTGATTGTTCAGATTATTTTATAAAACTAAATTATTTGACAATCTACAGACAATTTCCTTTAGAAATATTATTTTCTTGTAAAGTCTGGTATTTTAACAGAAATATAGTTCAATCTCTAAAAGAAGCCAGCCTTTCCACTCTAGGCAGGTGTGCTGATTTCATCTCACATCATGCGATGAAGTGGTGCACCTGTTCTTTCTTATACATTAGCTGTACTGTTGCATGTTGATCTAAGAAAGGACAAATTTAGCAGAAACTTCAAATAAAAATCAACACAAAACCTCCTTTCTTTTTTCTTCTTTTTCTAAAATAACCATTTCACACAGACGAATCAAGGGCCCTCTGGCCCACCTGGACCCCCAGGAGTCCCAGGAGTCCCAGGAGTTGATGGCATAGCTGTGAGTTACTTTAACTTTGTAAAAAAAATATCCATATTTTGATGCAAATGCTAACAATGTTTGCAAATAGCTTTTGTTGACCAATAAAATTGCATGCCTTTTCTTTCAGGGTGAACGGGGGTTAGACGGCCAGGACGGTTTTCCTGTAACTATGAAATTTAATCAATTTCCAATCTCTTGTTGTTTCCTACAATTGCTGGTGAATCATTTATGGGATCTTTAATCTTGTAGGGCCCTGATGGGGATGCAGGTAAACCCGGTTCTTCAGGGTTACCCGGAATTCCTGGAAATGATGTGAGTAGTCTTTGTTTAATGTTTCATATAATATCTGCTCGCCATGTTAATGGTCACGATGAGGTCAGCTTGCCATCTTTGAGCTGGTTCTGTGGGTGGAACTGCAAAGTGTTATCCTCCCACCAAAGAGCTCATGTTTCACATTAGTTTTGTAGAGACCTAGGAAGCATTATATGTGTACAGGGGGTTATTGAGGGAAAATAGGTGCAAAAAATGTAAGGAATTTATTTAACAGGATTAACAAATTCAGAGCAGCATCACGCCTCGGTATAATTAAGTTAGAGGGCAAGGTTATGACAGCAGGAGCCAATAAATCGCACATTTTAGCTGTTGGCGGAATTGTAAAAATGACTGTATGATAACTTGCCTTAATATAATGGTTCTATTTTACGTGCTTTATTAAATTCCCAGTATAAAGGGATAATGAACACTTCTATCTGGTACCTGTGTGGAGAATACCTAGCAGGATTCTGAAAACAATAGGTGCTCTATTGGGACACTGCTAGTGTCTCCGGTTGAGAATCCTCAAACCGGTGTGGAATGACTTCTTTCAGTTTGTTTGTTTGAAGAGATCCGGACAGGAATGCTGCTCCCAACTGAGCAGTCTGAGAGTTTAGACGTCTGGCTTAGGGTAGATAACTTTCTATATACGCTATTTAAAGTTGAAAACAGATGCAGTGTATGATCAAAGGAAAAGCTTCTTTTATGTGTAAATATTTAATAAGCATGAGTGTGTTTTATCATCTCACACGTACATTAAGATTTTGATGGAATTTGAAAAAGATATGCTCATGTGGGATATAGATTTCTACCTATATGTATTGAAAACATTGATACTAATTCGCTTCAAAATGTGTGACTTTATCTGGTTGTGTTTCCGCTACAGGGTTTGACCGGCCCTGTTGGGGACCCTGGGCCTGACGGTCCCCCGGGACAGAAAGTGAGTGACCAGTGAGCCTTTACTTTTGTACTTCGGAGGCTGTCAGTGAAACTGTGCCAGGCTGCTATCCGCTGTTTTGGCTTGGCAGCAAGAGTCGCAGCGCATAAACCAATTCCTCTTGACAAATGAGACATAATCCTGCAAGCCTAAGTAATCCCTGTGGGGCATGAAGCTCCAACATTGCTCCTCATTAGGCTTAATATTGCTGGGTCAAGTATGCCCAGCCCCAGTCATATGATTGTGCCGGTGGAATGTTAATTCTGACTGTCTACAAGCTCGCACAGCTTAATTTTAGCCGCTCAGTACTCCTGTTTTCTCACTTCCTGCAGTATTTCTGAATAAAATGTGTTTATTTCCTTTCCTCAGGGTGAACCTGGAAAGTCCGGACCTCGCGGAGCTGCTGTGAGTAAACATGGCAGTCCAAGAGTCATTTTATATGTTCACATATTCCAGTTTTAGTGTCTTGTACACACCCAATTTTCATACTGGCAATTTCCCTTTAGGGTGTTGGGCCTGATGGATCCCCTGTAAGTAACCCTTATATGTAACAATATCAAAACAAACATTTGCATTGAATAAAAATAACAATATTATATAATACATGAAATGTACCTTTAAACAGGGACCACCTGGGCCTGGAGGACTTCTGGGTGAACTGGGAAAAGTTGGACCTCCTGTAAGGAAAAAGCAAGAATTAGTTTCTTTTTGGGGTTTTAAATCTAATAATGGCAAATAACTAAATAAACATGAAATCTATGTTATTTAGAAGCAAAATATAAGTTAATAAGTGGAATATGGATGATTGTTCTTTGTTGTTGTTATTATGGTTTTTATAATTTCTTACTATTTAAAAACACTTCTCAGCTCTGCATAAGAATTCCTGTGTATCCAAACTAAGTATCTGCACAGAAATGTCAAATAAAAATCCGAATAACCCAACTTAGATCTACTTAGTGGACATGGCACTACAGCATTGCACTGCAGCATCTGAAGCCTTATGCATATAATGCACAAAATTATTGCAACACGTTTCACATCAAATGCAAGTTAAACTAGAATATTTTCTTGTATTGATTTCAGATAAAGTAAAAATATCCTGTATTAAAACAGAATTCGAGGAGTCATGTAAAACAAGGTGAAACCACACAAGGATGTATTTTGTTCTGTGGACTGCTGAAAATATTTATGCAAACACAATACAGCCGACAGCATATTTATATGCTATGCAACACAAACTAGTTTGCAAAAAGATATTCTTCACCACTGCATCTGTTTTCAAATGTTTCAGTAGCTTCCTGTCAGACTAATTACACATTCAGCTATTTATTTACCCACATGTAATACAGGTGAAAGCTAAAAATAGTTTTTTTATGGTACTTTGAAATAACCAAATTTTTTTTTATTCCAGCTACAACTTTTGGACGTACTTTTCATTAATATACTTACTAGTATAAGTTATTGTTGTAATGGCTGGCTAGTAGATTCAGTGCTGTGGAATCTACAGAATGATCATTAATCTAATCTCTAGTTTGATTTAATGCATTTATGTTTTTGCATAGGGAGCAATGGGTGTGAGAGGGCCACAAGGACCCCGTGGACCATCGGGGCCCAGAGTAAGTGAGAAAACATGTTTAATTTGAATACGTTTCCATACACAAGTGCATCTCAAATAAAATGAATATCATCAAAGATGTAATTAAATTCAGTAATTCAGTAAAAAAAAAAAAAAAAAAAAAAAAAAAAGAAAGGAAACCCTGAATCCATTTTTGTTTACATAAAC